AGTCCTGTTTGGCCACTGCATATTGCACATACTGACTCCAGATATAGAATTTCTTGTGGAGTTCTGCAGTGGAGATCACTTCACCATACAGACTCTCTAAATAGGCCATAAAAGCTATTAGGGTAATTTCTCTCCCAGGCACAACCAGTACAGCCCGACAAGCCCCACCTTCCAACAAATTGATGGCCAGATCAGGAAGGTGTGCTGCCGGGATCTGGAATAGGTGAGCTGAGCTCTCCAGCCAAAATGTAAAAGTACCAAGCGAGGTGATATTTTAATGAAGACTAAACAGGATTATAATACAGTAGTTGTCCAACAACTAATGTACAGCAAAATAAGGCGTTTTCCCAGTTATGGCACAAGGCAGTCCAAACCGGCAGACTTACAGGTGTCAATGTGCTCAAGGAGCACTCAGCAAGCAGCCTCTCTATGCTGACTACAATAGCCTCTCGAAAAGAGTGCTGTGTTGGCGATATTGGATGCACAATGTGCCAAACCAGATACAGACTTGAACAGGGTCCTTCCCCAAACTTAAGCAGTCTCCAGGGGTATTCCAGACTATCTCTACACTGTCCATGCTTGACATGAATCTTTCCTTGCGATATGCCTATCTCTCACTATCCAGCATATGCACTATTCCTACCTCAATACTCCCCACACTATGGGGTACACCACATGGCTGCAGCAGGGGCTATTTATAACCTGTGTCCAAAATTGCTGCCCAAATCTCGGTAGAACTCTGTGTCCAATCAGAGACAGGCTTCTCTAAGATGGCCAATGGCAGCCCTGTACAGGGGAAAATTCTATCCTCTGGCTGGTTTCCCTAGCATCAGAGGTAAGCAGCGATCAGGTGATCATTGTGTTTACCTTCTGAAAGCTAACCAGGCTAACCTAACAATTGCTACCTCACTAACTGGGCTGTCACACATCGGAGCCATCTTACCAATTGCTGGGTGTAGCAGCCGCAACATGCAGGTAATGACAGGAGGCTGATTTTAAGACAGTTTCAAGTATGTTTCTTAGCTGTATGTAAAATACATACAACCATTGTAATGGAATACACAAGTGCATTAAATTGTGTTTTTATCTAAGCTAAAGGACCCATTCACACCAGATCCGTTGCATTGCAATGTTTTTCAATGGAGGCTAGCAGAAAGGCAATGAAAAATGAATGGGTGTGAATGGACATGGTTCACGCTGCTCCTTTCCATTGTGTTACATTACGCTGAAAAAAAAGGAACATGCACAACTTTTTTTCAGCGCAACGTAACACCATGGATCCGGTGTGAGCTAGCCCCATTCACACCCATTTATTTTTTGTTGCCCTTGCATTAGCATCTGTTGAAAGACAGATCACAACACATTTGTTGACAAGCGATTTCCTTTAGATTTTGGTGTAAATGCAGACTTAATTGTCTTATTCTGTATACAGGGGCGTCCCGAGACCGGGTGCCACCCGCAGCGGTTACCGGGTGACACCCCGTTGTGACATCACCACTCATGCGCGCAACGTCACCATGCACATGTGCGATGACGTAATCGCGCATGCACGGCTATCTTATTGATACCCGTCGGCTGCCATTTTGGTGATAGACGCCGGAACTGTCGGGCTCTTGGTCCGTGACCGAGTGCCCGACTTTTCAGAGGGGGCAACACCAAGATGACTGTCAGTCATTTTGGTGTCCCCCCTCTCCAATGGTGTCATCCGGGTGCGGGCCGCACCCCCCACACCTCCCTTGTGACGCCACTGTCTGTACATTATTTTCTTGCAGCAGTCACTTTGCAAGGAGGCTAATTTTAACCTACTAATTGCCACTAGATGGAGCAAGTCCAAATGTTTGTCAGATCATAAAAATATGGCCCATAGCCATTAATCACATCATTGCCTACAACAGGAGAATGAAACATGATATTGAATTGGTTGAGGCCAGAAAAAGTTAAAATGATCTTTGTTTCAGGCTTGTAAAGTTGGCTCCATTGTAATATCCAGTTGCTAAAAACTTCTACCAGGCAGAACAGGTAATACCATTCCAGGGCGACATCAGCACTTTGGTTTCTGCATTTAGTTGGACGTGCGGTGTTTATCACCACTGGAGGGATAATTTACACCCTTTGACAGGTTTACAATTGTTCTTATCTGTTCCACAAAGTCCTTTCACTGGCAGGGAGAATATCAGATACCCCTGTTCCCCTGTGACACCTGGAGACAGCTTCGTTATTGCTCACACGTACACATGCGAGTGTGCAATTTAACAAATGCTCTATTAATTCTATATCACAATTCGCAGGCAGCTGTGCAAACAATGCGTATTACTTTCCCTGGCAGTTGGACACAGTTACATTTAGTTTTGCTTCTTTGTTGTCTGCCTGATCTCTTGTTACACGGGGTAGTGAGAAGAGAGGCCCTGGCGGCTCTAGCAGAAATCACAGGGCTGAAGGTAACACAAGCCATAAGCATCTAATGGCTGTCAGAATGTTTACCAGAGTATAGTCTTTTTTTGGGGGGCACCGGTCCACAGAAAGGATGTCCTTGAACTGGAGAAAGTCCAGCGGAGGGCGACCAAACTCATAAAGGGGATGGAGGACCAGAGCTATGAGACACGGCTACTAAATTTAAACATGTTTACGTTGGAAGTAAGGAGATTAAGGGGGGACATGATTTTCATGTACAAAATGTTCCATAGTCATAGCAACATTAGCAACAAACTCTTTGAGATTAATTCCATAACAAAGACTAGAGGACACCACCTAAAACTGGTAGAAACAAAATTCGAACACAAGGGGCGAAGGGGGTTCTTCTCAGTTTGCGCGGTTAGGGTCTGGAACTCACTGCCTCAAGCGGTAATTTCCGCAATTAATATGGAATCCTTAAAGAGGCTTTTGGATGACTTTCTGAGAGACCGAAATGTACAAGGGTACAGGTACTCTTAAGAATGAGAACACTCATGGACTATACACACACAGTTAATCACTATAAAAAAAAAAAAGCAACAATGCTTTTCTATAGTGACCAGACCAGACCAGGTATATGACTGATTTTGGTTGTAATGGTATATATGTTGGGTGATGTCCCTTGACTTTCCATGGTAAAGAATATAAAAAGCCATTTACTTGGCTTCACAGTAAAAAGATTTACTGTGAAGACAGCATCACAAAGTCATAAGAAACCAGCGTTTCGGGACCTTGAGGAGCCTTTGCTCAAGACGACATAGTGGGTCACCATGAAGGGACCCTGCGAAACCACAAAACATAGGTTTCTTATGACTTGTGTTTTATGTATTTACCATAAAGACAGCATCACCATTTATTTAGAGTGCTAGTGACTTTGTATTATTTCATCTTGTTTTGACATTGCACTATCCATAGCAATCACTTCAGGCACCCACCGATTATTCAAAGGTCAATTATTGTGAGGAGTGCAACCTTAATTTGGGGTTTCCCAGATTTTCTCTTGGTTGGGAAGCTACTCTGTTTGGTTGCTGTATATGAGAAATAGCACAACCCATTGCCAATAACAACCCCCTGTATTGATTAGATATCTTGGAGTTGTACTGAAGCCTCTTGCTTTGCTGATGTGCAACCTCCCTTGTGTTTGTGCAAGGTTTCAGTGGACTCAGCAAGGGAGCATTGCTATATCTAGTGAACACACTGCATCTTCACAGGCCCAGACTAAGGACCATTCAAAAGTTGATGGTAATGGCAGCTGTCAAGATTTATCTAGCAAACCATTCAAGAGCAGAGCATAAATGTCACAGTAAAGACTACAGCTAGGGATGCACCGATACCAAGTACCGTACTCGGTACAAGTACATGTACAGATACTTTTCCAGCTCCAAGACTAGACTAGAGAAAATTCAAAAGTTAGGAGGCAACTGTCATTTTTAGGGAGCACACAGAGCTCCTGGGATTTGTACATCTGTTTTATTGTATGATTTTGTTTTTATAAATATATATTAGGGATGCACTGATACCATTTTTGCAAGTACAAGTACTGATACTTGCCCAAGTACTTACAAGTACTGATACATTTGTGTTTATTGTCATGCAACAGTTTTTCTAAAACAATATCGACTAATGACTTCAGGACAGTGGTGGAGCGCCAGAGTTGGTCCCAGCTGCAACCGCTGCAACCCTGGTAGTTCATGAAAATGTCAAGTATCGGCACTGGTATCTGAAAAGCATCAGTGCATTCCTAATTACAGCTATTTTTCAAATAGGCTGTTTCACCAGGGAAACCACTTTAATGTAAAAAGTTGAAGTTTAAATTAATTGAACCTAAAGAACGGCCAAAAACAAAAAACTGTTAGTGAACAGCATGGGCAGACCAGTTAGCTCTTCGACCTTGCAGTGTTGGGTCCCTCAGTTGGAATCCCAACGAGGACACTCTTGTTTGCATGCTCTCCCTTGTGCTTGTGTGGGATTCTGCCGGGTACTCCGGTTTTCTCCAACACCGGTGGGTTAATTGGCTCCTGTCCAAAATGGCCCTAGTATGTTGACATATGAGATAGTGCCCTTAAAATGTAAGCTACTTAAAGAGAGGCACTTATGTGAATGCACCACTGTGTAAATTTTCAACTCTATATGAAAATGCCTGTAATAACGCTGTCAGCAAACAAGGCACTGTCGCCGTTTTCACGTAACAGTTCGTTCTTTAGCTAAGCTTTAACAAAATCACTAGATAAGACCCATATCTATAAAGTCTGAAGATAATAGTCTGAAACGATGGCAAGATTAGCTCTGACGCAGCATTTTGTACTATAACCACTTGCTCACAGGTATACAAAGCATTGCAGGTCTAGTTAGCGGTGAAGGGGTTAATTAAAAGAAATCGAGGAAAACCGTGCTAGCAAGAGCTAACAATCTAAGACGATCTCTGCAAGCAGACGTTAGGGCCACAATATTGGCGAAGGACGGCTGAGTGTCCACGTGGAGAGCAGAATATTTTGGACTGCCTGGACTCTGTCTGCTATCATAAAGGGGGGGGGGGGGCATAGGAAGCTGTCAGATTGTCGGGTACAGCAACTAGGGGAAACCTCTAGATGTGGTTGATGCTTGGATACAGGGTCTGAGACCTCTAGGACTTAATGACACAGCAACTTATTCCTCCCGTAGTCACGAGTTGACAAAGGCATGGAAAGCAAATATTCAGAAGCTTAATCTTTTTTTAATTTACTTGGCTGGCAGAGTGGCGCAGAGTACTCCATGTTTTTGGGAGAGGAGAGGAGGACTTCTCACCCAGCTGGGTGGCAAAGAAACAGGAGGTTTTGTTGGAAGAATGTCCTGGAACAGTTATTGTGTTGTTTTCAGGGAAGGAACGGAAACAAGAAAGTCCAAAACGAGAAGAGAGTCTGCGAGCTGCTTATTGAGAATAAGGTAAGCGGTCAAATGCACCTACATCATGGGAGCTGCAGGTTGCTGGGGACCTCAGGCAATATTCTGAGGTTCTCTGCATCCCCGCAACACAGGACAACCATGTCGTCACTGTATAAATAAGATGGCCATGTGATAATAGGCAGCTGGGTGTGGGGATCTGCTCTAAAGTTCACTCTATCTGTTTTATCGGACGGGCTTGGTTGTTTTAAGGGGTCCACAGAAACTAATTACCAGGCACATTTCATTAAAAGAGTTTTAGACCTAGTTTGCTGATTACTGCCATATGTGTGTTGAAGATCAAGCTGACCATACACCAGTAGTATTTAAAATAAAAATAAAAAACATTTTCGGAACATCTGGTCAATTTTATAATAGTTAATGGTTTCAAATTTACAAATGATATTTGACCATATTGACAAAAAAAAAAAAAGCGAAGGGGCAACATTCTAACAGTGAATGTGGTTTTTGTTCAATAAAATAATTTCCAAAACTGAATGTTCAAATCAATGAAATATACAGCAACATTCATCAAGTCTCTGATAGCATTATCGAATGTTCTGATGAGACTTTTCATATGATTATTCGTACAAAAATCTACCGGTGTATGTACAGCTTGACATTCCTATCTGGCTATCAAAGTAGTAGATGGTTATCATACAGCGTTTTTATTACTACCAGATGTTTTCTCGTGTATTGTTTTGTCTTGACCATATAGGTGAAACTCGAATAATTAGAATATCGTGCAAAAGTAATTGCAGTAAGTGCTGCAAAAGGGGCCCAAACCAAGTACTGAGTACATATGCCTGCTTGTACTTTTCAGAGGTCCGATATTGTTCTATGTACAATCCTTGTTTTATTGATTGCATGTAATAATCTACTTTTTTGAGGTTGTGGATTTGGGGTTCTTGGGGTTTTCATGAGCTGTAAGCCATAATCATCACAATTATGACAAATCACGGCTTGAATTATCTTGCTTTGCATCTAATGAGTCTATCTCATATATTAGTTTCACCTTTTAAGTTGCATTAGTGAAATAAATTAACTTTGCACGATATTCTAATTGTTCGAGTTTCACCTGTATAATAATTATATATATAGATATATCTATATCTATATAGATGTATCTATATATATATCTCGTTGATCTGAATTCAGACTTTAGACATACGGTTATCTGTGACTTTGGACTTTGGTAATATTGCAATGTCTATGGGATTGTCTACTCACATAAAATCTGGTTGTATCTGGTCTACATTTACAATGTGATTGCTCCTGTTGGACCCTACATATGCAACAGAAAAATTAAAGGAAATCTCCCCAAAGCGCGGGATCTTCCCAATTTAAGGTGCCCATACACCTTACGATTATCATACGATAATCGCAAAGTGTATGGGCAGTGTACAACCGCAAATACTGTACAATCGTACGACTTTTGACTTTCAAGCATGTTTGAAAACTTTGGTCGATCGTACGATTATTGCAAGGTTGGTTGCGTTTCCGTACGTCAAAAAAAATCGTACGATCTACACTGCTCATGCGCAAACGAAAATACGTGCGGTTGAGTGCCGCAATTCGTCCAGGTGCTTTTCTTTAATTGCGGCTAATTCAACCTTGCTATAATCGGGGCATAATGGGGCCGCCGTACGATAATCGCACGACGGTTCGATCATCGGACGAAACGTGTCGTCCGATAATCGTAAGGTGTATGGCCACCTTTAGACAGGTGTCACTAGGACAGGTGCTCCCATTGAAGGATTTTCCCTCACCTCTTGCTCTGGTGACAACTCTGAAATGTTGGATTTTCCCTCCTTTTCTGTCTTGGTGACAAAAGGACAAATATGGGGATCAATCTCAATGACAGGGACAAAGACAGCAATAAAAACACGAGAAAGGGTCTAACCTAAGGGTAGGCAACTTTGGCACTCCAGCTGTTGTAGAACTACAAGTCCTATGAGGCAATAAAACACTCTGACAGCCACAGGCATGACTCCCAGGGGCATTATGGAATTTGTAGCTTCACCACAGCTGATGTGCTGAGGTTGCCTACCCCTGATGTAATCTGGCCATACACACCGCTCTTTCTCAGTCAGCCCCACAGCCTCATCAAGAAAAAACAATTGATTTCCCAAATCTACGCTATTTTGGGAATCCCCCCATCAGACTATCGTATCCTGACAGCGGCATGTATGCTGCTGTCAGAATACTCGAACACTGACTGCAGCTGATTGGATGCAAGCAATGTTCAGCCTAGAATTTTCTGCCCTCCTTCGATTGAAAACTCAACTTTTGTTGTACACACACTGCTCTAATTTATTGCTGACTCGCTGAATTTATTACCGAATGCTCGAATGTATTGCTGACTCACCAAAATTTGAGCAGCGTATGATCAGCTTAACCCGCTTAAACTGCCAACAACTTTTGCCTTTACATACACTTTAAAGATTTGGTCACAAGTAATGCACAAGTTTTATAGGGTTCAGTTACCCTAACATTTTATATTGACAATGACAGTTTGAATGACAGTATGAAAACTAATCAGAACATTCCAAGATGCTGATTGGTTATAAAGATGTCAAATGGTACCAGTATTCAGAATTAGCATGTGAACATACATAAAAGTTGCTAGGCGTCCATAAAGTCAGTGAATTTGCCTAATTTTGGATCATTAGTACCTGAAAAAGGTTGGCAATTATCTTTTTTTAAATTGTTGTTTTAATGTCAGTTTCTTATAAATAAACGGTAATCTTTTAGATTGTAAGCCCTCCTTACCATCTTGTATTGAATTGTATTGTAATTTCAATGCGGTCTTGTAAACGAGCAATAAAAGTATTTCTAAGAAAAAAATTAAACATTTATCATTTTATCTGAATATGTTGCGGCAATACCCTGCATAATTGCAAAACAGCAACATCTAATTTAACAGCCTATTGAATATTAATACAAGGCTGGACAAGTCCCAGGCGGCAGGTCGCCAATGTTCCTTAGAAACTACAGCTGGAGCCTACGTTTTGAGGTATTATCTATATGTTGTCAATGGAATTGACGCCTAAAAACATCCTGCTGGCTTATGGACTAGGCAGACTGGCTCCTGACTGGCTTATGAGAAAACATGTTAGATGTCTGACATTTGCATGTTGCATGTGTTTCAGGCTTGAGCGTTTTTTATCATTATTAGTTTTTTAACCAATAGAAAGCTAGTTCTAAGGAAGAAAACAAGTGAAAAATGCATGTTTTTGCACTCTTTGTGCTTTTTTCAGGTGTTCCCATTGAAGAATATTGGGGCCAAAATGCATGACTCTGGCCCAAAAGACAGTCATGTACTTTTTTGGGTTACAGGCGTTTTATTACAAGTGAAAGAACACTCAGATTTGAACAGGGGCTTATTGAAAACAAAGAGATTCCCCCAGTTGATCATTGTAGCTCTTAGATGTGCATGGGGCCTAAAATCTGTACACCTGGGCGGCTGGCTGGGAGGAGGACTACTGCTATGTATGTATGTATGTATGTATGTATGTATGAGTGAGTGGGGGCATCTCTGCAGGGGTCAGACACCCCCCTTCCTGCCAAGTCACACACTGTTCTATTTTTTTCATTCAACCCATTGGCGGAACAAAACAAAAGAATAGAACAGGTTCCTCTATCAATATTACCAGCATTGGTTGAGGAACCCTTGCTGTTTCTTTTGTATTTAGACATCAGCGGCCGGCCGCTGTCAAAATACCACAACATATATGTACACTATACCAGCAGGCACCACTGACTGTAAGAAGCCCAGTGATTGGCTGCTGTACTGTACACATATTACAGTGTATGCCATTGGCTGTCCCACAATATGACAGAGTCACACTCCGCCCAGGGGAGTACAGGCAAGGCAGCTGGGATTAACCATGTAATCGACACTACCAATCCAGCCATGCTGTCTACAGCCCTGACTATCACTAAATGCATAGTAGTCACATCACAAAAGGTGACGGGCGCTACAATATGTTCAAATAATGTCTTCTGCATTCACTGTATGAGGACCAGTGTTTTTTCTGATGAATCTCTTTAGAGTGGCATGCCCAAGCCTCCTAGTTCTGGCTCCATGAGATCTTTTGATGGGACAGTCTTTCTCATCTGTTGCTCTTATTTCTTGATGATCTCCTGTGTCTGCCTCCTACTCTAGTCACAGAACTTGTGATCATCTACCTTTGCTTGAATAATACACACTTCCACTAGGAAACAATTGTTTTCTATGTAAACTTGCAGAGGCCAGGGTTGCTTAGGTGCAGAGAAACGCAGGTCTCCACATGTAGTGTGACAGAGATTATTTTCCTGAGACTAGCTATTTCACCTATTTTCCTTTTTCTTTTCCAAGGAACCCCTTATCTAGAGTTCTTTTCACCCCTATGGTATATAATACTCCTTAGCCTCACTTCTCCTGAGAAAACTCTTGGGCTACTAGTCAACCAGCTTTATTATCTTGCTGTTATCTCTGATCTTGGAACTGACTATATTGAGTTCCAAACATGTTAATTTCTTTATTGCTCCCTTTTCTGTCCAGAATTACCTGATTAACTAAAATGTTAACTTCTAGGTCAACTTTTTTTTAAATATTTTATATGTTTCATAACCTGTGTCAAATATGGATCCTGTTCTCTGTGATCCTCTTGAGATAATCTGTCCCATTGGACCTTTCCTCATCCATTATATTATGAGAACTAACTTCAAACACTAAGAGCTTTAAGGACGCATCCACTCACATAATGTTTTTTTTAAGGGCTTTCTTTGCCCACTTTTATTCAAGTAAAGTTCGCGTCACACAAAAGTTTACCCTCAAAGGGGTTTTCAGTACTTGCTTCGATTTGCTCACATATGGAACAATCTCTAGTAAGCTTTTTCTATTGTCTTCTTCTTGGCGGAAATCAATTGCCTCACTACTGCAATGGACCGCTCTCCAATACATGTCCTTAAACTGAAGCCATGGAACACTAGTGAGCTATTCTTATTTCTTGTGCTGG